GGCCGCGCTCCTTATTAATTGCGTTAAAAAAAAAAATGTCCTATTCTTTAACCTCTCTCCTTCCCAGCCCTCCCTCCGCCACCCCTCCCTCTCGCAGATCCCTAAACCTAATCCCCGTCCCTCTCGCCGTGCATGTGTATAGCAGCTGTCGGGTTTCATTTAGGGGAGAAGCTGGCAGCTTGTGCTCATTGGGGGCAGTCAAACGAGTTTCAATGGGCAAAATCATGAAGTTAACACTTTATCTAATGTCCCTATTGTCTGCCGGCGGGCATTGTCTTAGAGCCCGAGCGCAGACATGTCTGAAAGTATCTCGGGCTCCTAAATTCTCTAGGGAGCCGGAGGAGCAAAAAAAGGCCTGTTTCCATCCCTCCTCCCCGCCCCCGCAGCCCCGCAGCCCCGCACCGCTCCGCACGCTTCCCCTTCCCCCTTCCAGCCTCTCTCCGGAGCCGGGGATTTCCCTCTCCTCTGCTTCCCAAAAGAGATAGCGGGCCCAGGGTTCTGAGCAGGACAGGGACTGGGTCTGCAGCGGGTGGTGTGGGAGGAGGAGAGGAGGTTGTTTGAGGGAAGAGAGAGAAGAGAAGAGAAGAGAAGAGAAGAGAAGAGAAGAGAAGAGAAGAGAAGAGAAGAGAAGAGAAGAGAAGAGAAGAGAAGAGAAGAGAAGAGAAGAGAAGAGAAGAGAAGAGAAGAGAAGAGAAGAGAAGAGAAGAGAAGAGAAGAGAAGAGAAGAGAAGAGAAGAGAAGAGAAGAGAAGAGAAGAGAAGAGAAGAGAAGAGAAGAGAAGAGAAGAGAAGAGAAGAGAAGAGAAGAGAAGAGAAGAGAAGAGAAGAGAAGAGAAGAGAAGAGAAGAGAAGAGAAGAGAAGAGAAGAGAAGAGAAGAGAAGAGAAGAGAAGAGAAGAGAAGAGAAGAGAAGAGAAGAGAAGAGAAGAGAAGAGAAGAGAAGAGAAGAGAAGAGAAGAGAAGAGAAGAGAAGAGAAGAGAAGAGAAGAGAAGAGAAGAGAAGAGAAGAGAAGAGAAGAGAAGAGAAGAGAAGAGAAGAGAAGAGAAGAGAAGAGAAGAGAAGAGAAGAGAAGAGAAGAGAAGAGAAGAGAAGAGAAGAGAAGAGAAGAGAAGAGAAGAGAAGAGAAGAGAAAGAGAAAAAAAAGAAATAAGACAGAAAGAAAAAAAAATTCAACCCAGAGAAGAGGTGAAGCCTGGCGGGCTTTGGCGGGTTTCTCGAACAGGGCTGCAATAATCTTTGTTCAAGTTTTTCCATCGCCCTCAGAGCATTTGCAATGACGGGCAAAGTGGGTGCGAGAGCAGCGGGCGGTGGAGCAGGAGCTGCGGGCGCGGCGGAGCGGGGAGAAGAGGGGGGAAGAGGAGGGGAGAGGG